CCCTGTAAGAATGGAATTTGTGTTGACAGTTTTGGCCTTTAATGGCACTTTTGTGCCGCTCAAAAGTATTTGTTTACCAGGATCATATGCTGCAAGCTGTCAGACTCAGAGAGATTGACTTCGTAAGATAAAAGAGTGTATTACATGCTTAAGAGGCCACCCTTTTGCACTGTAATTATCCACATCACAGTAATGATGTTTTGTGTGCCACAGTTACTAAGAGTCTTGAGACAGCTCAGACTTTTTTAGTTACGCTCTGGGTCACTTCTTAAGCCCGACTCGACGCTGTTGTGAGCGAGAAACATTGTGACTCTTTGGCCGGAGAAAGCTGTGCAGGGTGGGGTCAGGGGGATGAGGATTATAAAAGGAGATTGCAGGCCGCCCACACAAGGGTGAGTTAAGAGCTATCTGAAGAAAAGAGGCAGTAAGTAACTTACTTTTTCACTCTTTTTTTTAATGGGTTTCATGTTTGCTTGGCCACGTTAAAAAGAACTACAGGGTTATATATTTACTCAGACATAAACAATCAAGTGTCAAAATAGATCTCCCAAAGATTGTTTTGCAAATATTACATCTTACGTCATCATACCTCCCTCCAAGAATAAAGCCACAAACAAATGACCCAGCCAAAAGCCAAGTAGCTCTTGGCTGGTTTCGTGTAACCTCACAGTGTCTCAGATTCTGAAATGGAAAGGGACATGCATGCTAAGTTATAAAACAAACATTTGGTTTGTGTACACAGTATTTCTTTAAAGCTATGTAAAATAATGTATGCCTCTTGGCACCACAGTCTTGACCTTGTAGTTAATAGTCCCCCGTTGAGCTGCCACTCCAAGCTGCCACAAGCTTGGCCTGTAACACTAGCTGACCTGTCAGTCTGTTTATCCAATAAACTATGGACTCATTTGAATCACAGTACACTGGCAGCAGCCTCAGAACCTTGCTTGTTTGTTTCTTTTCTGCCTTCAGCTTTTTTCTTCGTTAACAATTGCATGTTTACTTGCTGGTCAGTGTGGTGTGAAGGCATGACAGCTTTTATTCAAGTCACGGTCAGATGGACAGTGTCCTGGTGTGAAAAAATGTGTTGGGTTTTGGGGTCTTGCCCTGAATTAAAGATAAAGGGTCACTCATGGTAAAAGGCAAGGTCACTGTTGCTCAGACCACATTTAGCCGTCAGCCTGTCACTCGTAAACAGTCGGACCTCATGCGAGACAGCACTGAGGCTAACAGTGGTAGCTAACTCAACCACTGTTTAGAAGGGCCTTTTCATTAAGACATACTTTAGTAATGATAGCGTCATTTGATTATTTAGTGGTGTGATCGATAAGATGCACATTTTTCAGTAAAATGAGGGAAAAGGAAAAGAAAGTAGCACTCCTTTTGGTTATTTTCAACCTGAGTAATGTCTCCCAATTGACTGCCAGAGTAATGATGTAGAAAGACATCATTAGTTTTTAATCCAGCCATAGACTGTATTCATGAGCTGTATCCAGGTCAGAAACACAAACAAACAGTCACTGCGTCCACCCTACCTCACCTCACACAAGGACCTTTCTTCTTTACCCAGAGAGACACCGAGAGAAAGAGGAAAAAATGTTTATTTCAAACATGTTGTGAGAGGGAAAAAAAACATGGGGGGGGATTCGTGACAGTAACATTTTTTGACAGGCACATTAGGCTGCAGAAAGAGCATCCAGCTCGAGGCTGAGGGCATATGGTGCTGCCTTCTGCCGGCGTAGCTCTAGACCAAGTTACAACACTCGCACAGGGTCACGACTGTCTCAGGTTTGTTCCTTCTGTCTCACTCATCTAAATAAAAACAGGGGGAAAAATGAAAGTGGGGGGTTGGGTGGTGGCAGCAATGTTGAGTGGGGTTTGGCGGGTAGGGGTGTTGTACAGTATCTGTGTCTTTCAGTAAAGGACAAAAGGAATATTTCTAGTCGAGCCCTTTGGGTCAGGTCATCATTTGGTCAAAATGTGGAGGGGAGACATTTGACATTTCCAGAAATGCATCACTTTGAATTTGGGTTGCTTCACAGCAACACACACCACAACCTTTGTTTGTGGCAGGGCAAATACACATTTGCATAAAAGATAATAGCAGTTATCTAGTTACAAGCAAGTATAGTGCAGTGATTTGATCTCCTTTTACCATCTGAACACCCAGCTTGTGCTCTCGGATGGCAACCTCTTATCCTACTCTAAACAATGACCATGTTTTCACCACATTGGCTCCGTTTTTTTCTCCTCCGTAATGTGGAGAGGATGGACTTGGATAATGTGTAGGATGACGCAGGGCTCTGGTCTGAAGACAGCGGATCGGTGGGAGGGTAATTACAGGCTACTGTGCGGCTCTCTGGATTTTCCCCGGATCACAGCTATAGGCCTCAAAGCTCAGCCTCCGATACTACTCTCCGACAACGAAATAAAATGGCCACAACATATGGAGGCAGCAAAACAATGGTTTATTTTTATGATATTTTGATGAGTGGTTTTTAATTCAGATTGTCACTTCTGGCAAGCAGCAGGGCAGATGGTGCAAACTTGAGTGCCCATTAGAGCCTAAATACCTCCAGGCAGCTGTTGGTCATAAACTTTTTTTTTTTTTTTTTCCCCTGCATGTTTTTTTTTTTTCTCTCTCTGCATTTTCTCTCTTTAACACAGCTTGGGTCAAGCGGAGTCAAACCTGTTACAACACCTGTTTCTGCATATGCAAATCTGTTGTTTTGTCATTTCATTAGGCAAGGCAAAAAGACAAGGGTCCCTTGTGGTTGCAAATGCGACTGGCACTGGGCCCAGTTGGCATGCTACACTGCAGAGAGATGCTTGAGGCGGGGTGAGGGGAGGGACGAGAAGTTGGGTTTCCATAGCGAAGCGACTCAGCCGTCAGATGCCTTCACATTACAGCTCAATCTGGATGGGCTCCTAAAATTCTGTCAAAGTTGTCTTGGAACCGCTGAAGGGGGGTAACTCCCCCTCTCATTACCGGCCTTTATCTTCTCTGGAAAGACTAGCTGTAAGTGAATGACGAAGGACTTGCCCAGTAGCCAAGAACTGGCACACACGCGTGTCTGGCACACGCAACACACCTCTTACCACCCCCCACCCCCCC